TCACTGAAGCAAGCAAGCCTCATGTTCAGTTTAAGCTGCCTGGCTGCCGGTCGCCATCTTGGCTGTCAGTCGCCATCTTGGCTGTCAGTTAATTTGCATATCTCGCTGATTAGCCAATGGGAAGGGTAGCGGTCGTACGCCAATTACCATGTTTCTCTTTTATTAGTGTAGATGTACAATTCAATGGTTTTTAGTATATGTACAGAGTTGTGCAACTATCAACACAGTCAATTTTGGAAAATTTTAATCACCACCAAAGAAATCCTATACCTTTTAACTCTATTTGTCCTAGCTCACCCTTCTACCACTTCCATCCCTAGGCAATCACTAATCTATTTTCTATTTTTGTAGATTGATCTATTCTGGACCTATCATATAAATGGATTCATATAATATGTGATCTTTTGTGAATGGCTTCTTTCACATAGCATCTTTACAAGGTTCATTCATGTTATAGCATATGACAGTACTTCATTCATTTTTATGGTCTAATAAAATTTCATTGTATGGATAAAACCCACATTTGATTATCCATTCATTCATTCATAGATATTTAGGCTGTTTTCACCTTTTGCTATTGTGAATAATGCTGCTATGAACATCCGTGTACAAGTTTTTATGTATTTAAACATCTGTTTTCAATTCTTTAGGATATATATACTTAGGAATGGAATTATTGAATTATATAATTCTGTGTTTAATGTAATGAGGAACCAGAAAATTGTTTTCCACACTGACTACAATATTTTACATTCCCACAAGCAGTATACAAGGGTTCTAATTTCTCCACATATTTGCCAACACTTGCTTTCCTTTTTTTTACTTTAAAAAAATTATTATTATTATTATTATTATTATTATTGTGATCCTAGTGGCTATGAAATGGTATCTCACTGTGATTTTTTATATTTTTTTAAATTTGTTTCTGTTAATCCTTATTACCCAGGGATTTTTTAAAAAAAATCTTTATTGTAGAAAGTATTACATATGTCCCCCTTTTCTCCCATTGACCCCTTAGACACATACCAGGCCTACACCACCCTATTTATGTGCTCATGGGTTACGCATATATGCACACGAGGTCTTTGGTTGATATCTACCCAACCTGACCTTCCCTATGAGATTTGACAGTCTGTTCTATGCTTCTGTGTCTCTGGATCTATTTTTTTTTTTCAACAGTTTATTTTGTTCATTAGATTCCACATATGATTGCAATTATGTGACACTTGTCTTTCTCTGACTGGCTTATTTCGCTTAGCAAAATACTATCCAGGTCCCTCCATGCTGTCTCAAAGGATAAGAGATCCTTCTTTTTTACTGCTGCATAGCATTCCATGGTGTAAATATACAACAACTTTTTTTCTTAATTTTTAAATTTCAATTTTTATTACTTTTACACAAAACAAATTATGTTGACCATAATTCTGATTGTGACTTGAAAAATATAGTTTGTAACTTCTATACAACTTTGGTACAATAGGATGTATAATATTCACAATGGACATTTTATCCATTTGGATTTCTTAAATTTCTTTATTGTTTAAAGTATTACATATAGTATTACATACCGTATTTGCCGGCATATAAGACGACTGGGCGTATAAGACGACCCCCTAACATTTCCACTCAAAATACAGAGTGGCTTGGACCTGCCTG